TTAGAACAAAATTGATTCATCTTTTATCTGCTATAGGCTATGAACACACATTCTATATGTCTACTTTGCATGCATGATATTTAGATGCCAAGTTTATTGATGTTGTTGGCAGAAAGTTTGCTTTTATAGTTTATTTATCATGAAAATGCTATGACTTTTTTCAGAATATGCGTTGCTGTCTGATATCTGATTATTCAATTTGTTTCTTAAGGAGACAATCCAGTTTTAAAAATTGATTATAAGGGGGGTGTTTGGTTTACAAAATGAAGGATTAACTTTGGGAATAGGATTCTTGGAATGTAACATTACCTGACACATTACTGGGAATGTTACATTACCTTGATTGGTTTGTTTAGTTAAAATGTAAGATTACAATGTTTGGTTGTGATATGCTTTCAATATTAAATTGAAAATATTTGCATGAAAATTCATAGAACTAATTTTGTTGCACTACCTAAAATTTGCAAAAACTTTATATTTTTGTCATATTATTAATATAATTAGTATATTAAACAGATTTTAAAAATATACTCTTTAAAAATATTTTTGACTTTCCAAATGCTAACGGTTAATATGATTAATTTATTTTGTCAAATAAATTATAGTAAATAAAAAAATCTAAAAGTAATAAAATAGTGATAAAAATCGTAGATCAATTTAACCTACTAAAAAATGTAATCCCACCATACAACCTTAGAAACATCATAAATACAATATTAATAAAAACACATCAAATACTAAAGCACTATTTAAATACTAAACTAATAGGAAATAAAAATATTAAATAAATTTACACAACAAAAATTAGTTATCTGGTTAAAAATGCAACAAATGATCCATATGAAAAAAACACCTTATTTAAAAGACAATTTGGTCCCAAATGGAAGGAATTGTTCAATACCTAAGAAATTGATGGGAATGATATTCTCACCATTTGTGGGGAAAGTGCTACTGTTGGTAAAAGATTATTACCCCTGAGGGAATTCTCCCCTCCTCGCAATTCCAGAAAAGATTATTACCCTCAATAATAATCTTTTCCTCTAACCAAACACCCTTACTTCTAACAGCTAATATGATAAGTTTATTTGCCTTCCTCTTTTTGGATATATTTTTCTGCCTTTTTCCTTTACCATCCTGTTTTTACATTCTATTTTTTGTTCCAATCCTGTTTTTACATTCAATGTTTCAATTTTTGAACACTTGTGGTCTGACTTTTTGTACACTATGCATTGTGAATTCTCAGTCTTCCTTTATTCAATATATTGAATTTGAATTTTGATGTTTTATATCATTAGTTAACAAGCTTGGGGTCCATCCCTCATTGGAGTTGTGGTTTTTCTCTCTTTCCTTTTACAGGTCATTAAGGAATATTTAATTTTCATACCTTTCTCACATAAAATTTGGTGCTTAGGTTCTGGTTGTAAAGGGCCACCTCAAAATATCATAACCTGGATCAAATTTACCACTGTTTATTGCCGAACAAGGTACGTGGAAATGGAGTTTTAATATCAAAGAGAGAGTACTTTTATTTAAAGTTGCTTAGGACCTTGTGGTTGATCTGTAAGCGGAATGCAACTAGTAGTGATAATTAATGGTCCACATGTGATCCAAAAATGTTGAAGGCTGCCACATATTTCCTTAGAGTTTGAGGTTAAATTTTTTTTGTGATATATAGTTTGAAAGATAGCCCCTTAGGGTTTTGTTGCTGATTGAAAAAAGACTGCCTGTAGAAACCAGATGTGTATTGGATTTCATACATGTTGGATGTTCAATGCTAGATTTTCAGTCATTGTAATTACATGGTACTCTCAATACAAATTTTTTCCCTTCTCAAATATTGTTGATTTTGAGGATCAGTATGGCATTTTTATCTCTTTGCAGGTGTAAGCAGTCAGTCCTGACTTCAGACTGTCAAGAGCTAGCAGAAGTTACCATCTGTCTTTTCTTAGACCGGCAACTTCAAGGTCTCTCTGTTCTTATGAGGGACTGTATGCAGTCGGTTATAAGTTCGTTCACAGACGAAGAATGGATTAACAGTTACTCTAGAATAGCAAAATCTATTGCCTCAAGGTTATTCTTTAGTAATTGTTTCTTAGCCCAACCCCACCAACTCCAATGCTGCCTGCTCTATGCTTGAGTGCACATTATCGGTTGCAGTAACTTCCATTTTGCTGTTTCCTTTTTCGTACTCTCTTTCTTATGCCTGCCTCACATGAATGCAGAGTCCCTATTGACTTGAACTGCTTGAGAGCAGTCCAATGCCTTTCAGGAGTTGATCCTCGTACAAAGCATCTCAAAAGTGTTGTGGCCTTCGAAATTCTAGTCAATTGTTTCGATACTAAGGTATGCTTTATATTCTTTCTTTTATATAGGTCTCTGTTTGAAAGTTATTTTTCTTTTTTGCAAGTTTCTTCCAACTTGAGGTTTCCATAGTTATAAGATATTGTTTTCCAGGAATTAATACATTTGCTGATGCTAATTTTCATTTGATTTCATACCAGCGGCATCCAAAAATAGTAATCATAATGCATTATCTCTCTGTAATTTATAATATATATTTTATATATAAATACGAGTTTGGAGAATCTTTTCAACTGCCAAAACGTTTCATTGTTTATTCTATTGCTATATTGATATTTGAATAATATTTTAGTTTTATTATTATCTTTTCAAATATTAGACAAACATTTTAATAAAGCTAAACTTATATACTTTGTATCAATATTAAATCACACTTTCACTATATAGTTTGAATTATTCAAATTTTGAGTTACGCTTTTACTGGTATTTAAATATATATAAATCTAAGTAATCAATGATAAGATAGATGTACTAACATTCAGCATTAAGATTTTTTCATTCAATTAGTAGATAAAGAAAATCATAGAGAGTTTGAATTTTATTATTTTCACTTAATCATGATTTGAAGTTTTTATTGTTGTAATGTTTTAATTATGTTCAACAATTTAAATAATTATACATTATATTAATTTTATGAAATAAAAATATATTATGCAATGAATTTAAAAGGTAAACACAGCATGTGACAATAAGAACTGATCTGTTTAAAACAATATGCTAATAGTATTTGTGACTTTGAAGTCTGAATTGAGCATCTTATACACCACAGCTTCGTGTTCGAAATAAGTTTATGTCACTTACTGCTTGACTTTGTCATTCTTCTCAGGTTGCTAATGAAGAAGGGATCCTGAGTTTGCTTATCTCAATAAACGTGAAAGAAAGGGCCTGTGATTTCTTCAAGTTGTACATCTATGTGGTTCTGACTGAAAATTGGCTTCGATACGATGAAACGTTTAGCGAGAAGCCGGTGATCCGTGAAATGTGGGGTCTTTTTCTCCGAAACTGTTCTTGCCAAATAGGCAGCACAGATTTGAGGCCTCATGCATCAAAAGTATGGAACCAGAAATTTCTTCTTATCGAACTCTGAATCGGCATGTCTCGGTTTATTAATTTCCATTCTACCTGGCAGGTTCGAAACAAAGCTGCATATCTTCTACAAGACATTGGCAGCAGTTAATCAAGTAAGAATTCTAATTCATCCTCAATAAATAATGTAGAGATGTTTGATAAGAAAGGCACTATTAGAAGTTGGCTATATTCTCTCGCTCCCTCGCAGTAATATAATCAACGGTTGAATAAAGGAGCTTCAAACCCATTTGCATTTTTGCTGCTAATTTTTCGACTTCACTTTGATGGATTTTTTTTCCCGCTTAATACCTATTTTTCTCATGTACTAGTGAAAATCTCTCTTTTTAACACATTATTTTTGGGTCAAATTGACACCGAATATTTCTCTAATTTTGCAATCTTATGTGGTCCATCCAATCGGAAGTTGTCACATGTAATAAATATTTTAAAAAATTCTTAAAAAAGAAAGAATAATTTAATAAAATTATAAAAATGTAATAAATTCAGAAAAAGTATCAAAAAAAGAATTTTTGTAATATATATATCTGAATCTATAATGTATTTTTAACAATAAAAAATCTTTAAAACAGTAAATATATAAAATAATTCCCAAAAAGTTGTGAGAATATAGAAATTATATAAAAATGAGATTTTTTAAATAAATTTTGCTTTTCTACATATTTCTTATGATTTTATTTTTAGAATATTCAATTTATTTGTTTACACGTACATATTTGACAGTCATTGACCATGTCAGGTTGTTTTAACGGGAAATGGCCAATGTGCTAATGTGATAAAGAAATGAAAGTTACTGAGGTTATTCCAAATGTGGCACATGGTTCAAAGTAAATGTTAATATTTTTAATTATAATATATTTATGGAATTTGATCTTTTGCAGGCAAGGGTGCATATGTTGATAGAACCACCGAGATTCAGAATCAGGATGCTTCGTATGATGTGTGTGTTGGAATAATTTATTTTTAGTTGATGAGGTTATTCCAAAATGATTCCGGTCTAGCGGATCTACTCATGCAGCATGTAAGATTAACAATGACTGCAATCTCATACGACAGATATTATGAGGGTGTAATTTGATTAGCGGTTAATGTACCAATTAATCAAATGTTCTTAACTTATCGTTTTTACCTTCCATCTAAATTCGAACCCGGTCTAATCGAATGCATGCTTTTGTTTATGTTCCGAACCTTAAAATTAAAATATTTGACGTTAACAAAAAAAATTAAGAAAACAGAATTCTTGATTAAAGAGGGTAAAAGCACAAGGGGAAGACAGGTACGGGTGGGAACAAGGTTCGGAAATTTGAATTTAGACTCGGGAGCCACTGAACCGCCTTTTTTGCTTTAGGGGATTAGCTTTGGGAAGCCGTTATAGATCCCTCCGTTTGCCTTTTGTTTCCTGTTTATTTTCCCTCATGGTTTCTTTCACGGCTTTATTCTCTGGGAATCCAATCCGTCTCTTTTCATAGACCAAAAGGAAAACAATCAAATTTGCTTCTTCACTCTTTATTGTGAACAACAAAGTCACTTCTTTTCTACATATAGTTTTTCCAATTCCATAAAAATCACCCTCCCCATTTTTCCGTTTTGATTAAGCTTCTTCAACCTGTCTAGTTTTAGAAGCTTTGAGGCAGTTTTCACACAATGGGAGGTGAAAAAATGGCGAAAAGACCATCTTTAGGAAACCTGATGAGGAAGAGATTGTCTGATATCACCAATTTACAGTCACAACCCAAGCCTTCAACCCAACACGAAAATCCTCAACAAATTTCTCCTGTTGCTGAAGACTACATTAATCAGTTAATTACGGTATTTTCTACTCCGGGTCTTGTTTATTTTTAAGGTTTTTCATTTAATAATCATGTAATCTTTTTTGTTCACGTATAAACCAGGAAAAGATGACGCTGATGGAACTTATCGAGGAGAGAAAGTATCCTTTTCAGATTTTTGGCATTGAATGAATTGATGGAATTTGTTTCTCCTTAATTGCGATTTTACAGTAAGATCATTGAATTGAGTGGAACTGAGTTGCAGAATCTGAGAACCTGTTTACAAAAATTACAACTGCAAAATTGGAACCTTGCCCAATCAAATACTCAGATGTTAGCGGTCTGTTTTCCAGCCTTGGTTTCTTTCTTTCTAATTTCTCAAGTATTTTGTTGCTATTATTAATACTGGTTTCCATTGTGTGGTTTTTCAGGAGCTTAATTTAGGGAAAGATAAGGTATGTTGGTTTGTTTGGAACATTTTAATCCTCTAGGAAAGGAGATTTGGTATTTTGGCTTTGGTTACATAGTGGAGAATCAAAACTATTCTAATTTTAATTTGGGATCCAATCATTTCAGATGAAGGCTCTGCAGCATGAGCTTGTATGCAAGGATGCTCTACTTAAAGCGAAAAACCAGGAAAATAAGGTTAACATTATAATCTTACTATAGTCCTTATACTGTGCATAAATTATGGCTTTAATCCTTGTACTCTAGTTTGGTTTATTTTATTTTATTTTTAAAATTTCAGTCTCACACAACCAATATAAAGACTAAAACAGATCAATTTGAAAACTGAAACTAAAGGCTGCAGCTTTCACTTAGTATTCGAACTAATAGCATAACTTAATTTAACAGATTTATGACTATTGTTCGGGTCAAGAGTACAATGATTAAATATATAGTTCAAGGACTAATAAATCTACAACTTTCACATTTAATAGAGCTACAACAGCTTAGGAACACATTCCACATTGTTGAACTGACATTTTCTTCACCCCTAAAGAGTTCACCTCCTGGTTTTCTTGTCCTATGGGAGCAGGGAAAAGAAGTGGATAGCAGCTGCCAAAATAACTCACATGTGGGACACCAAGGAGCAGAAGAATGCGTGGCTAAAGCTAACGACGACAAGCATCGAGCTCGAAACAGAAGACGAAATGCTAGAAGTCAATGTAATCTTATAAATGTTCCACACTGGCTGCCTCTCATTTTTCATATTTTGTTCCTCCAAATCCGTTGAACTGACATATGGGATTTGTGAGCCAATTGTGCAGCTATGGGCCCTTCAACTACAAGCCAAAGAGATGGAGCAGATAAAGAGAAGATTGAAAGCAAAAGGTCAGCTAACATATTTATTTAGCTTGATGAGATTAGGGTTCTAAAAGCACTGCAACTCTTGGTTATTGCAGGCGATGCTTGAGGAGACAAACTGCTAGATTGAAATCCCAAGAACCAGAAATCCTATTTGAGCTCGATGATATTGGTTTTGCTCCAATAGTTTCATCTGAAAGATGTTCAATTGGAAGACCATTGCGCAAAGCAGCTGAAAAGGTGCAGTCCTACAAAGAATTCCCACTTAATGTTAAAATGAGAAGAACATATTGATGCAGTGCACCCCATTCCTCTTATTGTAACCTCTGTATTGTTGTTTATGGAACTTGCATTTGTGTGTGTTGGAATGATTATATTGTAATTTTAATATTGGCCAGAATATTTTAGGCCAAACATCTAATCAGAAAGAAATGGAGTGTTTAAATTAAAGCTAATTTGATCCCATCCCACCAATATTGTTAGGTTCTTGCTGTTGCCAGCAACAACTGGGTTTTGTCCTATTTAACCACTGAATGGTAATCAGAAGAGAAAATCTTCAACTGTCATTTTGTAAGATATCAGATGATGACGGTGAACCCAAGAATTTTTGTCATTTGATTCTGCTTTGTGGTTGTGTTGTTGGTTAAATTGCTTGACAAGTCCCTATGATATAGGATTTAACAGTGAATTAATCACTTTTATTGCATCAGTGAACATTTTTGTGGTTAATATTGAAATGGAAAATTTGTGTTCGAGAGAGCCACTCATCCGTGGTTCGTGGGTTATTACTTATTAGCCCAGATAGAAAATTGTGTATAAAAATGATGACTTTTGTTTTAGTTTTGTTTTTTTATTATCAATTTTGAAAAAATATGTTTTAATCACTTATGTTATTAATCTATTAAATTTTAGTTATTTATATTTTTAATTATTATATTTTAGTCATTGAATTATTAACTATTGTTAGTTTGATGACATGAATGTTAATTAAAATGGATTAATTTTTATTTGACCTTGAACTTTATATGAAATACTATTTTTATCTTAGATTTCACATAAAATCTTATTTTAACTCTTAAACTTTAGATAAAATATCAATTTGATCATTGAATTCGATCAAAGTCTCCTGTCGCGTCAGCCATCACTCCATTGTCACCATCGATCGCCACCAGTTGTCACCCCCAATAATTGTTGCACCTCAAAAGTTTTAATTCACTCTTTTTTAATCTCTTGAACGTGAATTCAATGTCCGTTTCACATATTATTTTTCATTTATTTCAATTTGGATAAAATTTATATAATTTTTCGCTAGTTATTTGTCATTTCATTTATTTTGATCTCTGGTGACATTTATATGGGAAAAACTATCAAATGACCTGCCACGTAGACAAAGACGCCTTAACGTGGGAGGGCCTTTCAAAAGGCGTGTTTTGAAAGGCTCACCTTTATTCTACATTATCAAAATGAGTGTCATTCTAAAAAAAAAGTCTTTTGGATGTTATTTTGATTAAGAAAAAAGAAATGATATTATTTAAATAAAATTATTATAAATATATAATATTCATCTATAATTTATAATATTATTAAATCGTTGATTGGTTTAATATCACTCATCAATAGGATGTCAAATCGATTAATAAATTATAAAAACTATTTTTTTTACATAATAATTAATATTATTATAATATTTTTTATTTTTCAATTTAATTTTTATATAATAATTAAAAACCAATTATTCAAAAATTGAGCTTTCTTTTTAGTTTTGTTCAGTCTTTATCATTAATTTTGGAAAACTTATATTTCGATTACATATATTATCAATCTGTAAAATTTTAGTCATTTACATTATTCATTATCATATTTTAATCATTGAGTTGTTAATTACGATTAGTTTGATGACATTACACATTAATCAAAATGAGTTAATTTTTATTTGATCATGAACTTTAGATAAAATAATATTAGATTTTAGATAAAATAGTATTTTGACTCTTACATTTGAGATAAAATAAGGTTAGAAGGTCTTGCGTTTTATTGATGGTTTTGATGTTGATGCATGTAGATGTAGTGAGTCTTAGCTTGGCTTGGAAAAGCTTTTGCAATGTATCCTTTAGATCTTTTTCTACTTCTCATGTTGATGCTAAGATAGTTGAAGAGGATGGGAAAAGATGGTGTTGCAATGGTTTCTACGGTGCTCCTAACGTGAGTCAAAGGAGTGAGTCCTAGAGTCTGTTGTGTTCTTTACATTATAGCGACACAAATGTCTTGGATTGTCATAGGTGATTTCAACGAGATATTGCTTTCCAAAGTAGGGTGGATTGCTACATAGTGAGTGACAAATCAAGGATTTTCAGAATGCTTTAGACAATTATAATCTCACTGATTTAGGTTATCGAGGGCCTTGGTTTACGTGGGAAAGGGGTCGACGGGAGGAAACAAATATTAGAGAGTGACTTGATTAGGGTGTGGCCAATGACACTCGAGGTTTTCCATTTCTGAGCTTTAACTTGGTTCATTTACCTCATTCATTATCAGACCATTGCCCATTTTTGTTAAATATGAGGGAAATCTATTCTTCAGGGAGTAAAAGACATTTCAGGTTCGAAGCTACATCGGTCTTTGAATATTCTTGCGTAAAGGAAGTCAAAAGACTATGGCCCCAAATAGAGGGCTCAATGACTGGTAAACTTGAATATGTTCATGTAGGACTGGATCGTTGGTTCCGTAAGTTTTTTTACGACCGTAGGTGGACAGAGAATGATAAGAAGAAACGTTTGAGTGAGCTGATCGAGATGTCTCACTTGGATGAATTGTTGGGTGACATATTGAAGACCAAACTCCAATTGAACCTCAAGATGGATAAATTAGAATTATATTGGGAGTATCGTACAAGATCTAATTGCCTTACGCATGAAGATAACAACACTGTGTTATTTCATTATGTTGCGTCCCAACGAAAGCGAAAGAACAAAATTATCTCTTTGGATACAGAGGATTGAGCTCGAGTGGAGGGCAAGACGGAATTATAGAAGATTGTTAAAACCTATTTTCAGAACTTGTTTAAATCCAATCTCAGTTAGATCGACGAAAGAATTCTAGAAGGTATTCAACCTTGCATATCTGAAGACATTAATAGAACTCTACTGATAGAGTTCACCAAGGAGGAATATAAAGCTGTAAAGTCCATGAGTCCACTAAAAGTAGCAGGTCCGGACAGCCTTGGAGCTTTATTATATTAACAGTTCTGACATATTGTGGGATACAAAGTTTCTAATTTCTATATAAGCTTACTTCATGGAAGGTTGAAGATGAATTTGGTGAATGACGCCCATATCATCTTAATCCTGAAAGTAAACGATCTGATAAGTTTGATTTAATTTAGGCCTATCAGTCTTTGTAATGTGATTTACAAAATTGTTTCCAAGGTGCTTGTGAACAAAATACAATGTTTCCTTCACCTCTGCATTGACGAGTTGCACAGTTCTTTTGTTCTGGAAAGGCTGATAACTGAAAATATAACCACACGAGTAACTCTTATTGTTTTGCACATCGAATGGAGGGTCGAAAGGGTTTTTTTTGCTCTGAAAATATATATGAGTAAAGCTTACGAAATGGTAAATGACCTTTCCTCTGGTCAATGATGGAACAGATAAGTTTTATGAGTAGGTGGATTGATTTTCTTAAATGTTGTGTTTGCTTGGTTTCTTTTTAGTGATTGTGAATGGTAGTATTTTTACCTTAGTGCGATTTGCGTCAAGGGGATCCTTTGAGCCCCTTAACTATTCTTAATTTGCGGAAAAGGTTTGTCATCATTGCTTAGGCAAGCTTCGGAAACGATAAGTTTGAATGGAGTGCGGATTAACATGTATGCTTCAGCTATCACACATTTTCTATTCGCGGATGATTGTTTGATTTTTGGAGAGGCCAAGGCAAATGTCGTATGAGATATTAAAGCTCTACGAGATATTTATGTGCAGAGCTCAGGGCAGTAAATAAATTATGATAAACCAAGAGTATTTTTTAGTTCAAATGTCATTGAAGAAAATCAGAACAATGTACACAGGATCCTGATAGTGACTAACTCTTTAAATCCTAAGAAGTACTTAGGGATGCCTACGATCTTAAGGAGAAATAAGAAGTGAGCTTGTATGGGATTAAAGGATTGGTTCTCTAAGCGCATCAATTCATAGAGCTCCCGTGTGCTGTCATAAGGTGGAAAAAAAGTCTATCAAATTTGTTCTTCAAGCAATTCCGCTTTATGCTATGGGTTGTTTTTTTCTTCCTAAGAGCCTTTGCGGAGAGTTAGTAAGGGGCATTCATTGGTGTACTTAGGAACAACTTAGCATGCTAAAAGGAAATAGGGGTCTCATTTTCTATATGCTCACAAAGTTTAATGTGGCTTTATTGGTCAAACAAGGTTAAAGATTGCTTACAATGTCAGATTCTTTGCTTAGTCACCTACTTAAGGAAAAGTAGTACCCATCAACCGATTTTATGCATGCGAGGTTAGGTTGGAATCCATCCTACATTTGGCGGAGTGTGTGGAGTGCTCGGAGGATACTTCAAAAAGGCTTGCAATGGCGAGTAAAATGGGCATTGATATCTCCATTTGGAATGAATTTTGGCTCAAAAAAGCAATTCCAGCACTTATGGAATCGAATCAAAGCGAGGATGTTAGTTGGGTAGCTGATTTAAATGATCTGACTAGCAGATCGTGGAGGGTTGAGTTGGTGTCTAACATCTTGAACAATGAGGAGTATGCTCTTATAATGAGTATTCTGTTGCCTATGTGATTCTTCGAATAATGTAATAGCAAAACTGAAAGCATACATTATCGTTTATCAAGTAGTAAATGTGGACGTAACAAGTACATCGAGTATCATATCCACAGAGATTAGAATTACTTCGTAGAATTATTATGCAACAAATGTAAAACTGTGTATTATTGATGTAGGAAGCAATGTTGTAGCAATGATGTAGGAGTATTAGTTCGAATGTTTGCTACTGTACATACTAATGTCATGAGATTTATAGGGTTCAACAGTTTCTGATGTCTCTATGTATTGATAGCATACACCCATTGTGTTAGAGTTTTTCATAAAATCCTAACCTTAGCAAGAATCTAACGTATTCCTCATAAATTTCACTACTAAAAAAAATCTTCATCGAACTTCATCAAAAATAATTTAAAATTTTCATCAACTAAAGAAGCATACTAATCCTAATGCAATGAAAATATGAAAAACAAATGCAATATGAACATGACAAAATACAAATACAATGTAAAAGAAAAATGAGCAACACACCCCAAACCTGAGATGTGCATTGCCCTCAACGTATATAGACAAAAATAAAAATATGAATGTAAATGTAGAATGTGACGAGGACAACAATACTACCCTAGTGAGTTGAAGATTCTGTGTAGCAATTG